GCCGTGGCCGTCCTCGTCTATGGCGTCACAGAGGAGCTCTGGAGCGGCGAAGTCCAGGAGCTCGCCGCTCAGCCTCGCGTCCGGCCAAAGCGGCCCATGTCGTCGACTGCTACCTCTGATGATGAAGCGATGTCGACTTTGGCATCTGCCCGCCGGGAGCTCCGCTGCCGACCTGCCGTATTTATCTGCTGATGGGAAGCAACGCCGCCGCCATCTCCGTTCGACCAGCTGCCGCAAGCCCGACCGCCCGTCTGCAAGTTCATGCCGACATGCCTCGTCAACCGCCGCCGCTGGATCCGCCTCGAGGCTCTGTCCCAGAATCGTTTGATGTAGATCTACGGCCTCGTTTAGGCGGCGTATACGCGTGCGAGAGGACTCGATGGCCGTAGCCGTCCATGTGACGCGAGATGCAGATGACGAGTGCAACCTATGGACTCCGTGGAATAATCTTACCCAAACGGACATTTTACTCATGAAAAAAAATACGATTGTATTCTAGTGGACAGGATATTACATCCGGAAGCTAGGGCTCGTTCGTTTGTGTGAATTCTGACGGAATCTGAATAGTTTGGAGGAGGAACGTTGAAGGAATTTATGAGAGAAAAATACTATTCTGGATGAAAAAAATAAGCGGATCAAGCTAGATTTAAGGGCACACGAACAGGACCTTAATGGTGAATAAAGTTACAAGGCTACAAAGGGCTCTTTTGAAAGTAGGCGAGCAAAATCCAGAGATAGAAAACCCTCTAGAACTAGAATGATAATTAGAATACCCACTCAGTAAAAGTCTAGGATCTCGGAGGAATTAAAAAGCCCGTTCGGCAGGTAAGGTCCCAACTTGTTTTAGCTTATTTTCTCTCACATAATATTGTTCAATCGTCAAAACCATCCAAAATCTACTGCTGAACTCACCATCCGAACACCCTAGAAGTTTTCAAATTAGCCCTAAAGCAAAGCACGACCCCCACATTTAATCACGGCGCCATTATACCATGATCTTGTCTGGGCTATCTACCAGGACGAGACAAACTGGCCTTTGTTACCGCGCTGTACGTACTTAGGAAGAGTACAGTGCTGTGATTAACGCAGCAAAGCTGGTTTCAGTCGCGTGCGTTGGTTTTGGCTGTTTGCAATGATGCTAGTAGTACTACGAGCATTGGCATTTGAAATGTGTAAATGCATGGGAGTATGGGATGGCCATGGGAGGGAGAGGACGAGAGGGGAGTCACAGTCAAGGGGGCGGTGCAGTGCGGCCAGCGCGGCTGCGCCTCCCAAAGCTTCTGTTCTGGCCGGACTTGTGCTGCAGCGTCGCGTCTTTCGCGCGTCCTCTTGTAATTTGACTACAGTATCATTTTCGTTTTTATTTGATAATTAATGTTCAATTAGGCTCAAAACGTTCGTCTCGCAATTTCCCACCAAACTGTGTAATTAGTTTTTTTTCGTCTATATTTAATGCTTCATACATGTATCGCAAGATTCAATGTGATAGGTAGTGTAGCATTTTTTGGGAAGTTATTTTGGAACTAAACACGGACAAACAAGACAACACCTGTTCTGTTCTTTAGCAAGCAAGGCTAGTCACCGGGTAGACCGGCTGTAGCGAGACACATGCATATAGTATTAAATATAGATTAAAAAATAACTAATTATATAGTTTACGACTAATTTGCGAGATGATTTTTTTAAGATTAATTAGTACATGATTTGACAATACGGTGCTACGGTAACACATGTGCTAATGACGGTTTAATTAGGCTTAAGAAATTGTCTTGCGTTTTACCGACAGATTCTGTAATTTGTTTTTTTATTAGTATCCGAACAACCATGCAAGGTGACACCCGATATAACACTATGAAACTTTATACGTCGATTTAAACAAACCCCTAAAACATGAGCTGGCTAGGCTAAACTGTCAAGTTTTGGCTCTCATGGAGTCATGGCCACGGAACCCCATACAACCGAAACCGAGCGAGGTCGGGTCGTCGGGGTCTTCAGGTTGTCTGTCTTCCAAGCTTGATTCGGTCGGGCACGCTTGGACCGATGGATCTGTGTATGCGTCCGACCGAGGCAGAAGCAAAATTCAGGCCCATCCTTTCGTCAGTGTGTCGTGCACGCGGCATGCCCTCTCAAGTCCCAAACCAAAGGCAGCAAATAAAGCCCTCCCTCCCCTCGGCGTCTGCATCCGCTTGCTCCGTTGCTCGGTGGGTGGAGTGGATTCTGTGCTGTCTGTCTTTTTGTTCCCAGTCTCCCAGGGAGGGTTGGGACTGTGGGAGCAGCAACATTGACCCTGCACACTGCACTGCACCTGGCTCTGTAAACTGTAACGGCTCCTGTATCCTCTCCTCTCCGGCTCTCCCGCCATCAGCTACACCACTCCTGACTCCTGCCACAGCCGCTTCCTTCGGTTGGTCCTCTCCTCTGAAAGCTGGAGCAGTCCGGTGATGGTCAGGCTCCGGATCGTGCCGTTGGGTGCTTCAGGAAACAAACTTCAGACATCGAATGAATGCTTCAGTTTGAATTCGAAAACGTACCTAGAGTACACTGTACACCACTACACCGTTGGACGCCATGCCAGTATGTGTGGTGTGCGTGCCTCCCTCTGCATCATCACAGTCTGATTCGCATGCCAAATTGCCAATGCACTCGAAACAACGAGGATCTGAAGGCCGATGGCGACGAGACTACGAGAGGCAGCAGTTTAATCAGAGAAACTAACTTTAGCTACCTTTTGCTAATACTGTACTAGGAGGCACTAATCTACTATCACATGTGATGATTGATACCGTGAGAAGTTTCCTACCGGGTTTCTTGTCTGGTGCTAAATGCTTTCCTTTGCCACGGTGGAGGTGATTAGCAACTCTGACCTGATAGAGTAGTGATCTCAATAAAGTGTGGTGTTCTTGGGGAGATGGGCAGTAGGATGATCAGATTGCTATGCTAGCTGTATAAAAGAAAAGTTTCAGGCTTTTGATGGTTCCCGTCCCGGTGCATAGGCCAGCCACTGCTTTTACTGTCACGTGTGCACATGGCCCCTCACTCCCTCTCCCTCTCACCCTCCAATGCCTTTTGGGGTGGTGCACCCCATCCCTGCAAGCTGCAGCCTACGGCTAGAACCCCTACAAGATGGTATAGATGGTATATTTAGGGCCCTATTGGCCAGGGTACCGCTGGCTCTGGCTCCGTAGCGCGCAGGAGTCGGAACTGGAGGAGAAAAAAAAACGAGTTTTTCTGGCTCCGGCGCTGTCAGAGAAAATAAGGAGAGAGAAAAACGGCGTCGGTAAACAGTGTCGCTACAAGTGGCCAAACGGGCTCTTTGCCCCCTGAATTAAAATCTGTCCCGTTTGAACTTATCAGTCTTGCTTACCACTATAGTACATTATTTTTCTCTTACAGTAAAACAGTGTCTGCTAAGTTATCAGCCCTAAAAACCATTAGCATATCCACGGTCGGAGCTTTGTACAGTAGCAAAGAAAGAAAATCCTGCAGAGACTAGGCTGAAAGAGTAACCAATTTGCGTACCTGAACATCTAACTGAACTCCCTAATAAAGGATGATGAGATAAAAAGACTTGGCTGCTCACTGTGCATCCGCCTGCACAAGACCTACAACAAACTGCACACTGCTCCCTGCTTCACTACAAGCGGCATGTTTCTGTATTAATTATGCATCACAAATTTCGTTCTATTCCATTTGCAGCCTGTTTGCGAAACGATCGTGGATTATAAGCTAAAAATACTGCTGACTGGTTTGGTGTGGAAGAAAAATATTGTTACATCTTATAATTCATGATGGTATAAGTTGAAACAAACAGTCTGTTGATCTTTGCTGCCGGTGGGCCTGGAGCGCATGGGCCAAAAGGTCACAGGGAATCCAAGGCGTCGTGCAGTCGTCCGTGGTCAAGATTCATGACTTCACGAGACGACGGCGATGGCTTACGTCTTTTTGCTGCAGTGCATGGCCATCGCACTAGAGGCGCTGGGCTGGCCGCCCACTGCATTTCTGGCCCACTGTGTGCCGGTGTGGTCCAGTCCATGGTCAGTGCCAAAGGCTCAAAGCTGAAATCTTGCGAGCACCGCATGCCACGATGACAGAGATCCCCAGCATGAAATGCTCTATAGGCGACGACGACGACGACGACAAAGCCTTTAAATCTCAAATAAGTTAAGATAAATTAAAGTTAAAACCCAACCCAAATAATTAAAGTTCAGACACGTGAATAACTATTTTTCAAACATTTCTATCTAAAGCTAAATCTTTGGATATATTCTATCCTTTTAAGTCTCCTTTTATTGACTCACTCAAGTCAACTTCGGGTTTCGGCCTTTCTCTGTCTCTCTTCACGTTATTATCCTAGCTTAGGATTCCACTATACACCGATGTCTCTGTAGGTCTCCGTTAAACATGTCCAAACCATCTCAACCGGTATTGGATAAGCTTTTCTTCAATTAGTATTACCCCTAATCTATCACGTATATCATCGTTTCAAACTCGATCCCTTCTTACATGATCGCAAATCCAACGCAACATATGCATTTCCACGACACTTATCTGTTGAACATGTCGTCTTTTTTAGGCTAACATTCTACACTATACAACATAACAGATCTAATCGTCGTCCTATAAAACTTGCCTTTTAGCTTATGTCCTTTTGAAATGCTTTACATGCGAGATCAACAGAAATGTCGTGCACGATCAGTCAGAAACTTATTCAGTCAACAGATAAACTTATTCGAATACACTGCGTGTTTGGGTCACGCACAGTTTGCTTATCTCGTTCTGATCGACATACAGGTGAACACAGCAGGCAGAGAAGGAAGAAAACAGGCTCCGCCTTTCTTGAGTTTTTTTTTTTTTTTTTGAGAAAAAAAGGCTCCGCCTTGATACACCAGACAAGACTAAACCGAAACTGAAACGGTTAGCTATGGGTGCTGCCAGTGCCAGCCCCTCTCCATCGACTAACTGACGGCAAGGTTTTGGGTCCAGAATATACAGTTCTGCTCTCAAGCAGCTGCGCTCTGTTGCTGAAGCACCTGCGTCCACTCGGCTGGCCACCAGTCCGGCTTGATCGCATGGACCCTCACGTCCCTGTTATCGCCGATGCGCAGGGCCGAGCCTGGCTTCAGTGCTTCTTCTAGTCTCAACAGGCCCATCCCGCGGGAGCCCAGAGCGGTGTTTACTGTCCCGATTTTCTTGCCTGATGCCTCGTCCACGACTTCTGAACCTGGAGTGACAGCCTGCTCGAGTTCTGATAACAGAGGCTGCATAATTAGCATCCATCAACAGAAATGGTGGTACACTGTGTTGTTAGTTGTTACCATGGAAACTCATCATACCTTGCCCATTTTCGTCAACAAACTTCATTGGCATTAGGCGCTTCCGAATGACACCACGATGGTGTGTCCGTGCAATAAGCTCCTGCCCGATGTAGCAACCCTTCTCAAAGGAAATTGCATTCAAGCCAGCAAGATTGTACTCCAGCGGGATTGCTTCACCTGAATCAAAAGAATACAACTTCATCAAAAAGGAAGGGAAAGAGAACAATTTAAGACACCAGGTACCTGATCAGGAAAAAGTGTCACCCAATAGTTGGGCAATTGGCAAAATTATGTCAATCCTGCTTTTTTCGTCTATAATATAATCTAAAGCTTTTTTCTCTAAAAAATATATGGCCACTCATTCATATCCTGTCTTTCAAATACCTCATTTCCATTCTCTACAAGGAAACCAGGAAGCTGTTACTCTAAACCTCTAGGCAAATTGCTTACAGACATACAGATAAACAAGAGACCACACACCATCTGACCAATTACTCATTTATCAACTCTAATCAAGTTGCTTTAGGGAATAGAGATCATGGATGGCGCCAACATTAGCAACAAGAACTCCCAGCCTTTGTATTTACTGAGACATTACCTCTTCTACTGTCTACATTTCACTGCATACTGCAGTCATAGTTCTAGAATCAAATAAATCGAACTTAATCAAAAAGTGAATTTGGAGTAGCTTCTAGGTCAAGATACAGACTAGATATAAGAAAACCGTTAGATGATATTTGTCTAAGAATTTAAGAAAACAGATATGCAGTTCTCCTGTGTAGTTCGAGGAGAAAAAAAGAGAACAGATATGCTGATTTGTAAATACATGAGATAACAAATCCTATAAGGGAACTGAACATTTTCCAGTAGTGTACCAAGCAAAAATACAAAATATTTATCGACACAAAAATTCTGAAAAAGTAAATATGTATATATATGAGTCGTGACTCATGACCAACCAGCTCGAAAAAGAAACTTACCTTTTGGGATTTCAGTTGAACCTTCTGCAACTCCATTTTCTATCCGCCAAAGTTGATAATGTCGTTCGTCCGCTTCTTTGTCAGACTCAACTAGTGGTGCTGTAAATACAGAAACAGGTTCAAAAGTGTTGAAATGGGCCATTCTCCATGTCAGATAATGAACATCATATCAGAGAAGATTTAGGAAATGGCAAAAATAAAATTACTTACGTATTGTGTCAGCTGGAAAAATTCCTCTGTAACCAAGGTAGTCCAACCGAGGATCTTTGAGCCATTGCCAACCATGACCGTTCCCTTGTGCAGCTGACTCGCCAGCATGGTCAACACCTTGTCCCCATCCAATGGATTGAGCCTCAGGTTCTTGAGTAGAAGGATCGGTATGCACTACATTATGTCCAAATCTTTGCCAACATGCAAAATTCTCACTTACATTGTCTATTTCAACCTTGGATCTCAACCGATATCTGAAAACAGGAAAAGTTGCCAGGTCACAAGCCATGGAATTTATCAACAGACAAGGTCATCTAGAGGTAAGAGGTATCTAGATTCCCAGATTCACTGCAAACCTATAATGCAATAAGATCTTCCAACTAGGTGTGTGAACTCTACGTTCTCAAGTAACCTAACAAACAATTAGCTCAAGTACAGCTGCTTACTGAAAGAGCAATTCATCACTACGATTGTTACTTGACACAAGAATCTCCAACAACGGTTTGTAATTCCCAACAGTGAGCCACTTAAAGATACACACTCCTAGAAGTGAGTTCATTGATGATCTCCAAGAATTTTGGCACTTAATGTTTTGTCACACTTAAGACTTCAAATTATGGCATTAAAATGCCAAACGAAGTGTGCACCATAATATAGGTGCACAATTTAGTTTCATCATTCTAACTGAAAATCTAAGAAAACAACAAGCAAAGAAACTTCTTTTTGAAAAAGATTTCACATGTTACTGATTACATCATATTTATTTTCCTAACTGATCTTACTCTCCAGTTTCTGTTTGATCACCAGTATCCTCACAAGAGACCACATGTTCCACATCATTACAATTGTTCTACCAAACTGAACATTAAGCATTTACTTTGCCAAAGCTGTAGTCCAGTGCACATAGATTCTGCAACTAGAGCCAGATCTTAAGTTGTATTAATCCATCTGGTTTAATAGTACAAGTAGAGGGCCCAAATGTGAACCACAATGTTCCACTGCCTAACAAACCAACGCTTGAAATTAGCACGATGCAGTCACAGAAGTAGGGAAAAATGTTGGCGTTTACAACAATATCACCAACAGAAGCAACAGAGCTAATTGCTGGCAGCATCAGAGCATCGGTAGAGTCGATGTAGAGACTAGGCTGAAGCTCACTGAAATTAGCTCTAGGAAGACCGTTGTCATCAGAAAAATTGTCCAAAGCCGAACAATAGGACGAGCTCGCAGAAACAAAGATTGGCAGCAATACTAATAACAAAAGCAACGGCGTTAACTGTGACTTCAATCCCAGCAATGTGCTGAAAGTTCTAGTCACATCAATTCATCTTGAGCTGGAATTTCCAACAGCAACTAGACTTGCAACTACGACACTAAAATGACCACCACCTGTGAACTCAAAATACCATCTGGACTTCCAACACGTTATCCAGCAAATATCTAGGGATGGGATCACTAAGCCTGCTGTTTTGTCTTAAGGAGGCAGCCTTTGCGGTTTGATCACAAGAAGTCCCAACAGACTACATACCTTAGAGTAGACTGAAATATTATAATTAGTAAACTGAACGCTGAGCAATAATAATAATAATGTCAGTAGTCCCTCACCTCTTGAAGCAGGCGACGAGGTCGTCCACCTCAGCGGCGTCGACATCAGCGAGCACCTCCTGCGGGTCCCCCTCGGGAGCCTCCCCGGTCTCCGGCGCGGAGCCGGTGCGGTCGAGCATCTGGGACGGCGGCGGGGGCCGGTAGAGGAAGAGGTCGTAGAGGAACCTGCCCTGCGACGTGAGCAGCGCAGCGTAGGCGGGCGCCGCGGGGCCCCGCGCGGGCGCGTTCGGCGTGGGCGCGTACCGCTGCGGCGACGCCGCGCCGGACGCGGCGAAGGCCGAGAGGAGGTCGTTGGTGAGCAGCGAGTGCAGGAAGCGCGCCGCCTCGGGCCCCGCGAAGCGCACCACGGCGCGGGACGCCAGCCGGCAGGCCAACACCCCCGGGGTCGGGGTCGGGGGCGTGTGGAGGGCGCGCGCGCCGCGCGGTAGCGCGTGGAGGAGGAGGCGGCGCGCGAGTGGCGGCATGGCTGTGTGTGACTTGTGAAGTGTTTCTCGAAGTCGAACCGATGAGTTGGGCCGCCGCTTGGTGGTGGCTGAGTACCGATGGGATGGCTCTGGGCGTTTTTGCGGGGTTTTGGGTGGATTTCCGGGGAAATTTGGGGGTTTTGCGGGGTTGGGTCGGGAGGACGCGCCGACGAGCAGAAGAGGTGATGGTGCCAAGCGGCGGCGGGCGGCGGGCGGCGCGGGAGGGTTGGGGTGGCTTTGGATTGGTAGGCACGCGTGGGGGGAGACGTGGCGGGAGGCAGCCAGGCAGGGGATCCACGTGGCCGTGTAGGCCGGAGGAAAGGACTCGTGGTCTCGACGAGAAATCATGCGAGCTGTTCGTTTTTACGACCATAAGGCGGTTGACGTTGTTTGGTTGTGTAAGAAAAATACTGTATCATAGTTAATGAGCTATGCTGATAAGTTTAAGTGAATAGATAGACGGCTGACGGCCCAAGTAAAATAGTTGGCGACCGGTGCCATGCGGTGGCCAATGGGCCCAAGTGCCGCAAGGCGGAGTGACGGCGCGGTGTTCACGAACGATCCAAGACGGGTGAGACACGACACGATTATTGTGGTTTGGGCAGACCATCAGCGTTTGCGTTTCCTGCTTTTTTGTCGTTTTTTTCCTAGCGAAGGGGCACATTGGCCGCTGCGTGGCTCAGCTGCCGGGGGCGGGGGGCCTGCCTGGTTGGGTCGTGAGAGCTCGTCCCTGAACCCGAAAGGCAGCGTGTGTTGATCGGCCGGCGCGGTGTCACTTGGTTCATGGGGGGATGGCAGGATGAAGCGTCCTGGTCGTTTGGGCTGGTTTGGCTTATAAGCCATGGCTGAAAATACTATTGACTGGTTTGATGTGAGAAAAAAATATTGTTCGTTGGCTGATAAAACATGGCTTATAAGCCAAATACGACCAAACGAACAGGCTGAAGATCAATGGACGAGGAGAACATGAACAGCAGGAACAACACAAAGATGAAGCAACACATTACAAACGTTCCAAGTACATTTAAGTCTAGTCTAGAATTATAATTCCAACGTTAATGAACATTCCCCTGACAGGCCCTACAGTTGCTTATATTAACTTGTTCCACAGCACACAAACCAGCAAAGAAAGTAAGATGACAGTATGGTTTTATATAGCCCCGTTCGTTTTGCTGAAAAGACAGATTGAAAAGTATTGTTCACTGATTTGTTGTGAGAGAAAAAACACTGCAGGCCGAGGAGCATGACTTGTTTTGCACGGCTTCGGATAAGGCCCTTTTTGGGATCTGCATCCGTCCGGTGTAGTTTATTTCCCGATGTTTTCTCTCACGGAGTCGCGAGAATAACGGCCACCACAAGGCGTTTGATGAGATTTCCGATTCTCACGGTGTAATGCCCAAGAATCCGATTACGGAAGGGCTAGCGTCCGGACGCAGGAGGCGTCCGGAGGCTCCTCCCATTCGACTGTGTTGACCACGCCCCAGCCCATGAACCGCGCCCCATCCCATCCCCACATATCAGTAAGGCTCCCCGTACCGTCTCAGTAACAGAAGCGCGTCCATAACCCCGTCCCACCCCGCCTATGGATGCACGTGCGAAGGCGTCTGCCGGACTCAGGCGCCCGCACACTGACTCACGCACGACGCCCCAGCAACAGCAGCAAGGGGTTACGGCAGGTGGGTTAGATTGCACATGTACAACACCTGATCTACTTTTAAAACATCCAGATTACATATTTGTAACATGCTTCTGAAGATAAATGAAACACTTGAAACATGCGTCTGAAACACTCGCAAAAAAACATATGAAAAACACTTGGAAACCATTGAAAACCATACGCAATATCCCGATAAAACACTTACAACATACATGTGAAAGCGTATGCAACATCCAGATAAACACACTTGTAACATATATCTAAAAAAATAGATTAAACATTTGGAACAGGTGCTTGCAACATGTGCAACATCCCCGATCTATTTAAAAACATTCATATGAAACACTCGCAACATATCTCTAAAACATCTGAAACAATTGAAATGTATGTTTGCAACGCAACATCTCCTTGTTGCTCGGGAGAATAGAGGCTCGTCGACGTCTGGTGTTCACCGAAGGTAGCTAAAAGCTCTAGTTTAGTTTTGGTGAATTGATGAAACCCTAGGTACTAACTTATGTGCTCTAAGTGAATATGAGTTAGGTTAAGTACATTCCAAGTGTTGGAGCAATTGGAGTCTAAGGTGATGGTGTTGGACATGCAATGATGATCAAGCTCCGGACTTGGAAAAGAAAAAAGAGAAAAACAAAATAGGCTCAAGTCAAAGGTGAAATCCATAGGGCCATTTTGTTTTGGTGATCAAGACACTTAGTGAATGTTATCACATTTAGGATCGATGGTCATACTATTAAGAGGGGAGCTCTTATCGGACAACTCGATAATCTAGTGCCATTAGGTGTTGGGAAACTTGCATATGCATTTTAGGCCTAGTGCGCAATCGGTGAGAAGTGAAACCTTTAAAAATGATTGTGAAAATACTAACACACTTGCACGTGATGGTGAAACACTTTGTGGTGTTGGCACATTTGCAAAGGAGTTGAAGGAGGCAAAGTAGGGGATAAGGTGCTGCCTTTAGGGGCACCGCCACCCCCTGCTAGGTGCACCGCCACCCCTGTGGTGGTGACCACTTTGCCTCGGCCGAGCAGCCAGTGTTGGCGCTGGCATCGCCAGTGGTGGTGTGCACCTCCATGTGCACGATGGTGCACCGCCCTGGCCTATCCGGTGCCACCGCCTCTTTTATCCCTAGAGTGAGGGAACTAGAGATGGTCACTGCCACAGGCACCGCCATGCCCTATCCGGTGCACCACCATTTTTCTCCAAAGAGGGGTGTTTTCGATGGGTTGGCTAGAGTGGCACCGCCGTGTTCGGTGCCCCTGCAAAAGCTGTATCAAAGGGGGTAACGACTTTATTTGCTTGTAGGCTTATAAATAGAGCTAGTGGCCGGCCTTGGCCACTCTCTTGGCACTTCTAACAGCTACATACACCATTTGAGAGCTGAGCACACCACTCCACTCACTTGCACACTTGATCTCATCACTTGAGTGAGTTTGGAGAGCCTTTAGTGCATTGCTTAGTATTCTAGCGTCTTGTGGCACTAGCTGGGTGATTTGGGCTGGTGGAGATCTTGTTACTCTTGGTGTTTGCCAACACCTAGACGACCCGATGATTGGTAGATCGTTGAGCGACTATTGGTGATTATTGCCAGCTCTGATCGTTGACATTGTGAGGGGTTCTTGTGCGAAAGGCAACTCTAGTGGATTGCACATGGCTTGTGGATCCTCATCTTGTGTTGGTTGTGTGACACCTGGTTGCGGGTTTGGCATATGATGCCAATTAGCGCGTGAACCTCCAAGTAAGTGAATTACCACAACGGGGACTAGCTTGTCGGCAAGCAAGTGAACCTCAGAGGAAAAATCATTGTGTCTTCATTGTCTCCTTGGTATTCTTGATTGATCACTTGCCACGGTGGTATAACTCCTCTACTCTACTGTTGGTATTTATTAACTTGTCACTTGTTTTAAGTTGCCACCTAATGTATGTCTATATCTCTTAGCATTACTTTTACTAAGTTGTCATCACTAGTGATGATGCCAGAGATGCTTATGGATGCTGCCTAGTATTACTACTAGAGTAATGCTAAGTAGTTTTTTATTATTTTATGTGACTAGAATGAAAAGGATCTACAAGCGTACAGATAATATACCATTGTAGCACTTCACCCGAGAGTATTCTAGGTATCGTTATTTATATTTTTACCACAGGGAATGTCTGGCAAGGACATGTATTGATAACTTATATTATTGATGGAGAAGTAAACCATAACCAATATTCTACTCACAACTAGGGTAAGTCAAGAGGTAAATGAATATGAATGGTGTATAATAACTAATCATTGATCACTCATAGTACTCCTTTCTATGGCATTAGCATGATTAAGTAGAATATTAGAGGAATAATTACTAAGTCATTCTTAATTACAAGTCAAATCATACGTTGATTAGTGCAATTACACCTAGTAGTCATAGCTAAGATTATCTTCATATCTACACATAAGGGATATTACTAAGGAAGATTAAGAACAGAGCTTGTCTTCCTTCATAACTAGATCCTACTTGTAAACCTATATTCAGGGAGTGGACTACAAATGACTCAATGGGTTAAAAATTCAAAGAAGGTTGATCCGAATAAACATCACCACACAGAGTTATTTCGTCAGTACCTTCTCCTTGCGTGCTTCCTTGTCGGCCCTATTGGCCACGTGGCGCTGGTCCCTATGAGCCTTCACTGCCTCATTGCCGTCGTAGTCCCCAACTCCACCAAGCTCGTGGTCGCGGGCCATGGCATCATTGCTCAGGATATACTTGGCCAAAGCACTATCCTCTAGCCTAGAGAACCGCTCGCATCTACGAGACTTCCCATTCGCGTGCTGCAGCAACTCACAAAGACTCCATGATGGCACTTTCTTGCCATGGCAAAAAGGACACACAAAGGTGCCCTCACCATGACCACGAAACCTAATGCCTCCATTGGAGAGGCTGAGTAGGATCTCGCTCTCCTCTTCGAATTCAGCCTCGTCTGAATATGAGTTTTTGCTCTCGGAGTCACTGTAGCCTACCATGCTTGCGGAGGAAGTGGAAGAAAGAAAGAGAAAGATCAACTGCAAAATTTTGCAAGTTCAGAGTGAAGAAAGCAACACACCGCACCCCCTTCTTATACGAAGCAATGGCGACGATTCACATGGTAATGTTGACTAGCTTCCCCAAGCGCATATTTCCTGTTGCCTCGCCTCGCAGCGTACCCAACGCGGCCATTCAATGGCAACCATTCGCATGGCAGCATCGAGTTCCCAAGGGGCCTATTTCATGTCGCTTAGCCTGGCAGCGTTCCCAAAGCATTCAAAAACATTAGAAAAGCAACCGCCCAATGGTCATGAATTAGGAGTACG